GCAGGTGGTAGAAAATAGGAAACATTTTCTAAGATGAAATAAGAGTACTGATTGTAATGGAATATTTTGTTATGAAGCGAAAAAACAACTCCTTCCTTCTACTCCTCAGGTTTTTACACTCTGGGCCATGCATCAAGATTCAGTGTAGGTGAGGGAAACAACCTTTCCTTTGTAAAGTAAGACAGGGACTGTGGTGAAAGAGGAGCTGGAATGAAGATAGCATGAATATATATATGCTGGCTGGCTCTCAAACAGATTAGTTTTAGGGAAGATCTCTTACAGAAGTTGAGGAACTGGGGTGTTTTTGCTTAAAACTCTCCTCAGATTGATTTCCTTGCCCACATATCCCTTGGAAAGTCTTCACATATTTTAGGAAGATTTCCTTGGAAAGTCTTCATGTGCCTCACTTTAAAGATTGCTTGATATAGACAGACCCATACTCCACTGGTCGTGACTATACTTTATTCTAGGACATAATTGCAAGTGTCCTAGAGAGGAGGAGTGGGCTTGGTGTGTTTGGAATAGAAGAGGATTAGGAAAGAAGTCAGAGAAGATGACCCCAAGTTGGTGTAGTCATTCACTATGATCCTGGATATGGTCCTCAGCTTTGCAATTCTAAAAATGTGATTTTTGTCAGTCGACACAAAGGTGTGAATCAAACTTACAGGAAGTTAACGTATGAAATAGAATGCCATTGAGTTAATTTATACTCATAATCACCAAATAGACTGGATTCTATCTCCTTGTGGCAGATCCATGTGGAAAGGTCAGTTGTAATCAGTCTTACATGAGGAATGCAGATCTTGAGCATGGCTATTATTATCCAGCTATGATAGCCTAATACTCGATGATAGGCACATAATAGGAGCTCAGTAACTGTGGAATAGAATGCACCCATGTACTTTATAGATGTGTGTTTTTTTAGATGCATAGTTTTTGATCGGGTTGATTTTTCCTTGTTCCTCTTTAATGGCTATATCACGGAACTGTTAAATCCAATAAAATTTCATGTCATGAACATAATTGCAACAATCATCTCTGAGCCTAGAAATTGAGACTGTTCATTTTTAAGAGATTAGAGATTACTTTCCCAAGACCTATGTACTAATGTTGGTAGTGGCTTAATGATCTGTATTTCAGAATATTGTTTGTGACCAAGAGTGTACTGCATAAAAAGAAAACCTTGGTGACTCTGTGTTGGTACTTTGCTAGAGATGGGGCATCTAAACTAGGAAGGTGAACCATGGTTAGATTTTTGTTGTTTTTTATGTGGACCACTTTAAAGTCTTTATTAAATTTGTTACAATATTGCTTTTGTTTTACATTTTGGGCTTTTGGCCCTGAGGCATGTGGGAGCTAAGGGATGGAACCTGCACTGCCTGCATTGAAAAGTGAAGCCGTAACCACTGGACAGCTAGGGAAGTCTTACTAGGGTTAGATTTTGGGGACTATACTATGATGAGCAATGATACTCCAAATTTCTTGCAGTCAGGATAGTTCTCGATACTGCTTTTTAAAATAGACAAGCCTTTTCAGATTCTAAAATCATTATGAATAAGAAGGATAAGTGAAAAATTGGGATAAGTCCTGTCTGAAAGCCAGAAGACACATTTTCTCCTCAAAGCTTTTTTCAGCTCTAGGGTAAACTATTGAGATAGGAAAAGATGCCAGGCTGAGGAGTTTCATTTAGTATTTTAATAATAATTATAAAAAGGACAATACAAAATCCAAACATTTCTTTTTACAAGTTCAGATACATTTTTTTCCCCAAGTGCAAAATACTCTATAAACTGCATCATTTATTGTTGTGTAGGAGATGCTTACGATATCGGCAGCAGTGGAAGGAAGATATAAATACAAATACTTTGAGATTTCTTCTGCATTAAAAACGAAAGCCTCCCACATGGTAATGATTATTTTCTGAAACTTAAGTTCAGCTCACACAGAAGAATGTTTTCGGTTTGTCTAAACGGTTATAATCTGTGTTGTCTAGATAAGCTGATAACAGAACTGGGGGTTCTAGTCCCTGTTATCATATATTTTTGTAGAGGGTTCCTAGTCCAAATAATGGCCCAAGGACAGAGTATGCTACCTTTGAGACAAATCAAATTTAAGGATATCCTTGTGTTGTTTGCTTCCACTTTTCTCTTACAATGCTTAAGAAAGAAGCCAAGCAGGTTAACATTATTTTCTGCTTATGGTCAGTTATACTTTGTCTCCCTTTCTCTAGTTTGAGCCTGTTATGTTGAGGTTAAGCAGCAAATACAGAAGTTTCAGCACTCTATGTTTTCTGACATTTTGAGATATGGCCCCCTAATCTCCAGTCACCTCAAACATGTGTATGGAGAGAACTTCTCAGATACGAAAGCTTTCATTAGGGCTAAAGACCAAGGCTATATTACTGAACTTTCAGCAATGAATCTGAGCCTCCAACACCTCAAACTGATCCAGTCCTGAGGGAGTCAGAGCAGTCACAGCTTGATGTCAGCCTCTGGGAATTTGTAGGCCTGGGGCAGGGCAGTTCAAGTCCAGGCTCTGGTCAGTTTTCTCCTGACTTTGTTCCTCTAGGTTTTGGGAATGGGCCTGGCCCAATAATACAAAAAGATGGAGGAAGAGAAGTAAAAAGAGATTGCCATGTTGCTGAAGTCGTGCCTTTCTGATATGCATCACTTGGTGCTTGGAGCCCTTGCAAGAATAGACTCAAATCAGGACAGGTTTTTGTAATAAGATAAATGAGGCCTCAGTTATGCAGGGTCAATACTGTGACCCTACAAATACCTCCTGGCTTGCTCATGAAGGGTTCCCATTTACACTATCTTCCTACTTCCCTACACTGATAAAAACCTCTTTTTCTGACCTGTAAAGGCCTAGAGAGTCTCTGGAAGTGGACTCCTCAGTCTACTAACTCTTTGTTTCATTCCCCTGGGCCTACAGAAGCAACATTGCCTGGATTCTTAACTCCCAACTTGGACAACCTAAATTATAAATCAAATTTGGTGGACATGAGTAGGTCTTCATCTGGTCTCCAGGATCTCTCTTGACATTAGTTAAGAAGCTTGGTTGTCTGTACTTTCCATACTGTGGAAATAATTTGTAATGCCCAGAAACCATGGAATAAACGGTTAGAGGAAGTGTGTTTCTGTGTATGGGGTGACAGGAAAGGAAAGGAGAGCAAGGAGCCAGGCCCTGAAGGCATGCATTGGGAAGCACTCTGGCTTTGAGAGAGATGCAAAATGGTAGGGAGAGAGGAATCAGAAAGTTATCCTAGCTTCCAGTGGAGAATGAGGATGGTCAAAGTTGGTTAAAGCAATTTTCATGGCATTTCCTGCAAAGTGTGGATCCTTCTACTAAATGACCTGCTTGGAAGCAACCATTTTGTATCTCTACAGCAGAATCTTCTTTGGCCCAGAGAGACAAAGGCAGCCAGATACTCCACCCCCAGGCCATGGTGTTGGCTAACGGATGTCAGTGGATCTAGCTGTGACATTGGTTACCTATTGCCTAAGGTTGGTGAATGCTACTGAGTTGGGGCGGGAGTCATGGTGGGGCAAAGGGGAGCACATGCTGGTTCCTTTATTTACCGTTGAGCCTCTTTGAGGAACAATAGCTTGAGATAGTCATTAGAAGTGAGTCCTAGCAGTCAACTGTTAGCTTTTGATTGAATAGGGGTATGGTACAGCTTTGGGGGAACTAGAAGGAGCAAATGGAAAATAATTTTACAGGCAGCAGTGACTGAAGTTGGAGTGTGTGAAGGATCTGGACTTGGGCATGGACTTGATTCTTCTTCCTTTTGAAAAGCAGTAGTTGAGGAAGCTAGGCTTGAAGTCAGCTCCAAGAGGAAATGGCAAACAGGGGTAGGCAGAATGGCCAAGATCAGGCAGACAACTCCATGCCTGGCTAACTGTCCTATTCTTGGCTCCCACAGCCTTGTCTCTGGCCTCAGGGCCCTGAGTCAGCCTGTCCCCAGGGTTTGGTCCTGGTCCTCTTCCACAGGCACATCAGGGGAAAACCAGATGAGAGCAGGGAAAAGATGGAGGCTTTCCCTACGTGGGGTGGAGGATCACTGACCACTTCCATTGGCCTCTACAATCTTGAGGTCCATGCTGAATCCATGGAGGCACAGGGATGGTGGGATTGGTTTGGCAAACACAGGTCCCTCTCCTGACTGCTCCACTAGGTTCTACACATCAGATGTCTCTGCTGGCGGAGAAGAGACAGATCAGATGCTCTAGCACTCAAGGCTCATGAGATGCAAAACCTTTTTTCTTCCACTCCAAACATACACTCTTCTCTCTTGGGCAGCTATAAATAGGGTTCTAATAGAGGAGAAAGAAACAAAAACAAAAAACAAGACCAGAAAACAAAAACCCCTCCCTCTAGTCAACATAGAAAGACTCAAAATGATTGCACTTATTAGATGTGGACAAGGTGGGCAGAAGGCTCGCCACGTGCACACATTCCTCTTGCTGCCCATGGCCTGGGGCCAGAGGCAGGTGGCTGTGGGCTGGCTACAGAGCGGGGTCCTCTCTGGTGGAGCCCACAAAGCCATCCAGGACTGCAGGGGAAAGACAGCTCTGGGGGCAAGGCCCAGACTGGCTTTGGGTCAGCAGTCATGTTTCTTTAAGGGCAACACTTAGCATGGGGGTGGGGCTCCCCCAGGGAGCACTCAGGTGGGAGTAAGGGAATGGCTGGGCCAGAGAAGACAAGTAAGAAAAGGGATTAGTGTATGAGGCTGGCTTCCAATTGTTCTGTAGTCTAGTCCTTTAAAGGACACATCTTCTTTTTGTTTTCTTTTTTGGGCGATGCTTGAAAACTTGGTTTCTGTGCTGCAGAGAGAGTCTGTCTTGGGGAGCAACAGCGGCATATTCAACATGGTAATTCCTGCTGCTCTTCTTCATTCAGTTGGTGTCCATTAGCCAGTGGTGTGGGCCTTTTGTAAGCCCTCATGCATTGGACCCCAGGCAGACATGGGCCAAGAAGGAGAGGAGCTGCACATAGACAGGAAAGTTGACTATGTGGGCGGTCCAGGGCTCAAACCAGGTGTCCCAGAGGACGAGTGCTGGCATTAAGCCTGTAAGTCAAAGGCTTCTTTGGCAGAACCCTGGGCTGTTAGAATATCCCTGGTGGGGGCACAGTCAGGGGACATTTTGGCTCCTGACTAGCAAGGCACAACCTGTAACAGCAGAAGCCCCTCCTCCCTCTCCCCCAGTAGACCCACTTCCTTCATGGGCCTCGAGCACCCTTCTAAGCTGACAGTGCTGAGGACGTGGGCTGGTGAAATGGGCAGTGTGGCTAGGGAGGGGAGCGGCATACCATCCCTCCACCCCTCGGGAGAACACAGCCAGCACTGAATGGCTTTTTCAGGAACATGTAGGAAGTGAGAAAGTAAAGACAAAGAGCGAGGACAAAGGAGACATGGAAAGGAAGCTAGAGGAACAGAAAGGGAGAGCACTTAGTCTATATGGAGATTTTTTTTCCTCTCCAAAAAGAGAGATCAGAAGGAGTCCCTCATCTGAGGGTGGGGGCTTCGAAACCTGGGTCTTGGGCCTGGGGCACTATTTGTAGGGCCTCAGGAAGCTGGAAACTTTGGAGCGGAGCAGCTTGATGAAGGACTTCGGCAGCATCTCCTTGTGCTTCTCTGTGTACTTGAAGTAGTTCTGGGGGTGGGCCAGCACCTCGAAGAAGGCCTTAATGAGCTTCTTGTCCTGCAGAGGATGGCAAGTGGCAATATCAGCATCAGTGTCAGTGGGTGGGAAAGAGGAACACTGGCCTCTACCCAGCAGCAGCCCCTCTTGATGCTTAGTAGGCATATCCAGAAGTGAACTCTGGATCCCATCCCACCATCTGTTGCTCCTTAGAATTCTACAACTCTAGTCAGTGGCAGTTCCATCCTTCCATTGCTTAGTCGCAGTCTTTGGAGCCATCCTTGACTCCTCTCTCTTACTCACAACCACAGCAAAACCTGTTGATTCTACCTTTAAATATATACCTTTAAATATATCCAGGGTCCGACCGCTTCTCACTATCTCCACAGCTACCACCCTGTCCAAGACCATCATCTCATTTGGCAATGGCTTCCTAACTGGTCTCCGTACTTCCACCTACTTTTGTCCTTCTACAGACTGTTCTTTCTCCCTACCCCCAGCAGCAGCAGAATGACTTTTTGTTTTTACTTAGATCATGTCCTTTTTCTATTCTAAACACTTCTCTGGTTTCTTTATGACTCGGTAAAGCTGAATCCCTTGCATGCCCCATCAATGGGATGTGATCTGTGCCCTGTTGTCTTTCCCGTATCCCCCCCTTGATTCTTCCTTGCTCTGCTGAGCCACACTGGCCTCAAGGTTCTTGAACATGCTGTATGGCTCCCATGCTCCTGAGCTTGGAATGATCCTCTCTTGATCTTCTAATAGGTAGCCTTTTACCTCATTCAGGTCTCTTCTCAGAGGCCTTTCCTGACCACCCTGTCTGAAACAGCAATATCATGTGTGGAGAGCCTACTGGGTGCCAAGCACTGTGCATTAGGACTCAGCTCTTCTGGCTTTTGAGCTAGTGTTCTTCACATTGCATCAGGAGATTTTTTAAAACAGGAGGTGGAGCTTCCAGCCTCTTATCTCGACTTTAATCAAAATGGTACCTCTGCTTTATGCATTGGAGTTCACAGCGCATTTGAAATAAGGATTCAGATGCTCTAAAAATTTTTGAGAAGCATAGCTGAAATATTCTTTGCAGTCAGCCAGTTCTAGGAGATTTTTGTCATTGTGTCTAATTTTGATAATAAAAAATTATTTTATTTATCATAAAATAACATTATTTTTGCATTGGTAGTTTATGAAGGATAATACTGTGACTAGGACTATAGTTTCTTCAGTAAGATATTCTCAAACTGGGATCCATGGATCTGAGTATCCAGACCACCCTTCAATGTTGGAAACATTTCTTTTCCTTTAAAAGAGGTCTATACTGAATTAACCCTGAGAAACGCTGAACAGGAGCACTGTTTTTCTCGGCGAACTGAGGAGGGAGCTCCCTGCCAGGGAAATGCCAAAAGCATCTTTCTAAACCTCAGTTTCCGTATATTTCTTGGTGGAAAAGGCAGAGGACATTTCATCTCCTCATCTTCCCATTCTCTTCCCCCAGAGTGTAAGACAGTACGGCTGACACTGCAGTCAGATGGGTTTAGGCTCAAATTCCAGCTTTACCACTGGGGCATGTTCTCTAATTCTCTGTGCCTCAGCTTTCTCATTGGTAAAGGTGAAAGGCTTTTTACTAGGAATGATGCAAGTATCTACTCCATAGACCTGTTGTGTATATCAAAGAGAATATTCAAGTAAGCACTTAGCATATTGCCTGCCCATTGTTACATGCTCATTAAACACTGGCTGTCATTATTGATAATATTCACTCGCCTTTAAAATTTCCTGGTGGTTTTCAGATGCATAGAGCCGGCCATCTCGAACAATGTCTTCTACCAGCTGCTCGTAGTCCTCTGCAAAGTCCGTGAAGGGGAGGGACTGATGAGTGAGAACTCTTCCTCCTCCCTTTGAGACCCTGGAACCGCCCCTTCCTCACCCACCTCCCTGGCTTTCCTGCCTTTGCTCACCATCATAGGTAACATAGGGGATCTGGAAGCCACGGGCGCTGTTGGCTTCACTTGTCTTGAAGTTGATCCAGAGCTTCCTAGAGCGGGCTGTGAAGGCGATGGGGCGCTCATAGGTCTGGCAGGTCTCATAGGTGGTAATGGAGGATGGGGAGGCTGAGAAAGTAAGCAGCAGGTCAGGAGATAGCAGGGCAAGCTCCCCCAGTCCTCCTAGAGCGAGGACTCAGGCTGACAGAGGCCTCCCTCATATGTGTAGCTCCCCTAGCCCCCTCCATACACCCATACACATATCCTTTCTCATGGCCCTGGGCTTGTTCTTTGACACCCAGGCACTCACACAGTGTGAAAAATTTAACATTTAAATGGATGGAATTGCAAAAATACTAGAATAGGAAAGTAACACATTTAACACTATTGGAATTCTCCCAAAGCTGGCTTTCTTAACTCTGCCCTCCATTGAACATGTAGCATTCATTGCTATTTTCCTTTGCTCCCAAGGCCTTACTCATCATTGCCCCAATTCTTTCACCACCAATTTTCTCTCTCCTGCCCCCAACCAGATATGGACTGCCCTTCCCTGGCCCAGCTCTGCAGCCACCCACAGTTCTTTCTCATGACGAGGACGTCCCCACACTCGTCCTCAGATGGCAGGAAGATCTCAGGTACCACGATAAGAATCTTGCGCTTGGGTGGGGGGTTGATGTTCCAGACGCACTCCACACCAGCTGGGTAGTTGCCTGGGTAGTTGGGGGACTCGATATAGCCAGTGAACTCACCCAGCTCCCCACCACACTGGCGATCTGTAGCCAAGCCCAGTGGACAAAGCAAGAAAGAGAAGGGAAATCAGTGGGTAAACAGGTTGGGGAAATTGAAGAGTTCTGAAGTGGAAATCAGACACATGGAGTTCATCATCTCCTCCAAGTTCTGGGTTCCCCTTCCTTCCTGCCCTTTTAGTACCTTCTTGCCTCACTTTACCTGTCCGTACCACCCTACTACCTGTCTCCTTCCCCTCCAGGGAGAGGGCACTTCAGGGCCCAGTCCAACACTGTTGTTGAACTTGAGTGTGGGTGGGCTGGGGAGAGAGGGAGGGTGGGACTGGCCTGCCTATCCACCCCCTAGCCCTGCTCCGTGCTGGTTCACTACCCTGCCCACCTCCCACTTCTTCCCATGCCCACTGCTCCCAGGCCTCTCCACCCCATTTTCCACTGCCTGGCCTGCCACATACTCTTGCACTGGGTCACACTGGTGGAGCCATCAAAGTCAGTGCTTGTGTTTCCTGGACAGCGGGTGCAGAAGTTCTGACGGAAGTCAGGCTGATAGGAGCCCATGGCGCAGCGGATACAGCGGTGGATGCTGGTGTTGTAGTAGTGCCCAGGGGAGCACTGGACTGCAGGCAGGGGGGAGGAGCAGGGGTTACGATGGCAGGCAAGCAGGAATTCTTGGGCAGGGACACGTTCATCATACAGAATAAACAAAAGACACCAGAGTTCCTTCTGGAGTCCCAGCCTTCCCTAATCACGACAGAACTGAAGCCCAGGAGAAAACAAACTAGACAGAGTGGTTGGTTACAGTGTCAGTCCTGTTCTTTCCGGCACTAGCACAGCCACACACCTATAGAGGAACTTGTTTGTAGCTTTGAGGGGAATGTGGCACCACTTTTCCAAAGCAGAGGGTTAAGTGGAACTGTTACGTATTCCGCAGTTCCCAGGCTTGGGACAGGTGGAGGGTCAGGATGGGTCCTGTGAGTAGGATGGTGGGGTTGGTCATGCACCTGGGCCTTTAGTGGCTTGGGGAAGATGGTAGGCAGCATACTTGGGTCTACTCTGGGAACCTGGAGAGAGTTTGGGAGGTAGTTGGGGCTGGGGATCCTACCAGGGTGAGTAGCCCACTCACCCTTGGTGTCACAGTCTTGGAAGGAGATGGCTCCCTCGTGCTTAGTGGTGAGGCCTCCACCGCACGGGAAGCACAGGGTCCGTCCTGCTTCAGGTTGGTAGGTGCCACGTGGGCACGGCTGGCAGGGCTTGAACCCATCTGCAGAGTGTTGGCCAGGTGAGCACTGACCTGCAATGAGCCAAGGGCCCAACTCTGATGGGTGTGGTCCTGGTTATCCCCACAGGGTCACCCAGTCTCAGGGGACAGAGGCACACACAGATAGGACGTTGACGAGGAGAGTGGCCTGGAGCCTGGGCCTGCCCTTGGGAAGTCCCATGCCCATGGGCGTCCCAGTGCCCACCCTACCCCACTCTGAATTGTTTGTTCCCCTGGCACCTGCACATGTGGTGACGTTGGTGGCTCCAAGAGGCCCGTGGGCATCACTCCCAGGGCAAAGGTCGCAGGAGAGCTGCCCTTCTCTCTCCTGGAAGGTGCCCGCTGGGCATGGCACACACTGCTCCGTCTGGCCGTGGTAATACGTTCCCTGCGGGCAGCTGACTGAGGGAGAGTCGGCCGCGCTAGCCACCCACCCCCACCTATTTCCCACCACCCGGGTCTGGGGCTCCCCTACCCTCTCCCCCAGATTCAAGGAGAATCTCTTGGTCTGGGGACAGACAGAATCCTGCTTGGGAGGCTCAGGGGCCAAAGGCATGTGCAGGGGTTGGTAGCTCCACATGATGGCCCTCTAGATCTCAGTCTGGGACCAAGGAGGGGAGGATGATGGGCAGGAGGGTCTTGGCTGCCTCATACCTTGAGAGATGTAAAGTGTCCTGCTCTGAACCAGACCCAAGCTGAGCCTTCCCTACTCCCCGCTCCCCAGCAGCTCCCTTACCACACTTGGCCCCAGAGCGGTGCTGCCCAGGCCTGCAGGCCTCCACTGGTTCAACTCGCTCCCCAGCCGCTGGGCCTGGCTTGTGGGCCAGCTCATAATCGAGGCCTGCCAGGCGCAGTAGGAAGCGGTCCTGGTTGATGGACTTTCTAAGCATCTTCAGGGATCCTTTTAGCCGCCGTTCCATCCGCTGTCGGAGGCAGGGCAGCCCACAGCTAGCTGGTGATGGATGGTGTTGTGAGTTGGAGAAGAAAGAGAGAGTGGTTGTGAGCAGGAGGGCGAGGGAGCAAAGCAAGGAGCTGGGAGGGGCATGGGGAGAGGACTGGGTCCTCAGCTTAGCTTTAGGCAGGCTCTGCCCTTTCCTTTCACTGCCGAGACCTGCTGTTTGCCCACCTTTGCCCTCCCCTTTCCATCCTCCTCCCAACGGTGTCCCCAGTCCCACCTGTGGTCTCTTCGGCTCTGACTTCTGCCTCCAGTTCCAGAGTGAGCCGAGTGACTTCCTTGCCTGGAGGGGTCCGGGCCCGCCGGCCCTTGCCCTTCCGAGAGGAGTCACATTTGAGGTGGATGAAGGTGACCTGGCAGTCAGAGCAGGGGGCGCCACCTAGGGAAGAGGCCTTGTCAACCTCAGGGACACCCCCTGGAGACCGTGTTCTCACTCCTGGCTTTCATTTTTCCATCCCAACCCGGACAGATCTCATCAGATCTTTGACTGTCCTTTTGGTCTAGGATAGTAATTAGTGGTGGGGAATATCCTAGGACTTCCTTGGATCCTCTACCTGCAACCTCTTCTTCCCCTGCTCTGTCCAGAATTCAGGGTGTCAGTGGGTTTTTGGAGCTCTCACTAAGCTGAGGAGTTGAGGGGTGGGAAGGTTTGGTGGCCAGATAGCCCACTGGAGTGGGGTCCCCAGTCCAGACCTGGCCCTGTGATTCTGCTAGTCTCTTCTGTTTTGCCTTTGTTTCGCAGGTGCAAATGGCACTTGGCGTCTTTGATCTTGAAGGAAGCCCGCTGTTTAACCGTCAGCACTGCAGCCTCTAGAGGGATGGCAGAAGCTCAGCACAGCCTGGGGGCCCCGTGAGGGTGGGGGCGGCCATTGAGGGTATTGGGAAGCTGGGGCTGGGGTCTTGGCCAGAGGAGAGGGGTTACGAAAGCCAAGAGCATCAGATGTCAAGGGCAGAGGGAGCAAGGCAGCAGGGCTGGATAAATAGTAAAGAAGGGGATCCAGGAAAAAGTAAGGCCAGGAGGCTTAGTAAGGAAGGGAAATCGGGATTAATAAGCCAGAGAGTAGCATGAGACAAGGCATCTGGGCTGGTGCTCACCATGGCAGTGGTTGGAGTTCGTGCTGTTTCCCGCATGGCTAGCTCGGGCTGGAGCAGCCCTGGGGCTGGGGATGCCACAGCTCACGGTGAAGCCATTCTCTGACTCTGAGAGAAGGGAGCTGTCACAGCTCTGACCTGCCCACTCCCCTCACGGGTTGAAGGAATCCAAGGGAAGCAGAGGAGCTGCCTAAACAGCCAGCATTCCTCTCTGCCAGCCCTCCAGCAACCTCCTCTATGTACCTGGCAAAAACCGGGCCCGGGATGGGCAGGTCAGGGCACAGGTGTCCTTCTTCCCAGACCGGTTGCAGCTGAGCATGGCTTTTGAGGCACCAGGACTGCTCTGACACTTCACTGGCTCTAGGAAGGGGAGAGAAGCCTGAGGAAGAGAGGCTCTTCCTCTGCTACCCACTCTAGTCTGTCAGTCAGGTGTGTAGTTGGAGGAAGAGAATGAGCTACATGCAGAATTGCAGTTGTACATGGAAATGGACAAAGGAGTTATTTACCGGGAACTCCATGTCTCAAATGGCCACATTCTCCATCCCCGACTCCGTCATACCCTAACGCCACGATTTCCAGGACCCCAGCGACCCCCTACCCTGAAACTGCAGTGCAAGCTTCAGCCAGCAGAGGGCGCCACCCACCTGTGCAGTCTTTCCCGTTCCAGTGCAGCCGGCCCTGGCCTGCTGGGCAGGTACACTGGTAGCTGCCAGGAGTGTTGACGCAGCCAAAGCGGCAGCCTCCCCGGTTGATGCTGCACTCATCCACATCTGGGGGAAGGAGGCGGGAGACACAGACAGACAATGGGGGGGGGGGGCGGGAGGAGGGGGGAGTAGGAGCCAGGTCGTGGGCAGTGAGTGGGGGACCTTTGGTTAGAGTTCCAGGTACCCTAAGATGATTCCCAGTCTGAGAAGAGTTCAAACATAGGACCTTCTTCCCTTGTCTCTGTTCTCAGTCCAAAGAAGGACTGAGAAGGAGCCAAACTAACAAAATTTTTAAAGCTTTCCATGCCTACCTAGCAGAGGAGTTGTAATCTGGGGGCTAAGGATGGGAGGCAAGGGGCAGTGATGGGGATGGGAGATAGAAATTTTGGAAACAGGATGCTGTTCCCTGATACCCCAATGTCTCTACTGTCTTCATTTCTCCCATTTCCTCATGATGGATGTAGACATGGCAAATGCCCCTGGGGACCGCCCACAGACACAAGCCACCTCAGGGGCGTGTTCAGCTGAAAGGCAAGGAGGTGAAGGGCTGAGGGTCAGAGGTGCCGGCTTACCCCCACAGTGGGTGACGCCATACAGGAGGTAGCCATGACGGCAGAGGCACTGGAAGCTCCCTGGCGTGTTCACACAGATATGGTCACAGGTCCGATCAAAGGAACACTCGTCTATATCTGGAAGAGCAAGGTTTCAAGCCACTGCTTCTGTCTTGGGGCCACTTGACTCTGTGACTCCTTGCTCAGGTGAAGGGCCCCAGGGAGGGCCTTGGCTCTCTCCCTCAAACTGAAGAGTTCCTACCTCTGGCCCAGCCCTAAGATCAGTGACTCAGCAATGCCTACCCACCCCCCTAAGCCCCTCCACTTGGAGTCTTTGAAGTCAGGAACTTTGAGATCTGTGCCTGTGGATTAGGGCTGCCATGTGTGGTTAGGCTGGTCGGATTCTGCCAAGGATGTGAACTGGGGTGAAATCCACCCCTCCCTCCTTGTTGAGCCATGTACCCCAGAAGGGCCAGTTTGCCAAGGGGAAGGAGCACATTTGCTAGGTCACAGCACGACACTGCCTATGGAGACTCCCCACAGTGTCCTTTGAGCATCTCAGACTCTGGCCCTCTGGCCTCTGTGAAGCTCTCCTACCCTAGAAACTCTCCAGAGGCTTTTCCCTTGGCCCAGGTCTGCTCACCCTGGCAGTTCCTCTCGTTGATGAGAAGCTTATAGCCCTTCTTGCAGCTGCATTCGAAGCTGCCCACCGTGTTGCGGCAAATGTGGTCACAGCCCCCGTTGTTCAAGCGGCACTCATCTATGTCTGGGGAAGCAGGACAAAATAGAACCAAAGGTAATACTGAAGGCTGGGGACAAATAAGGAGACCAGCGCCTCCCTCCCTCCCTTGCAGAGACAGAGAGCCCGGGTCTGCCTCTGCTCCTTTTTCCCTCCCATCTGTTCCTTCCCTCTTCAGGATGTCTGTGGCCGTTACTAATACCTTGTTTCTTGGGTCTTAGAATGGGAGAGATGGGAACTGGTGTCAGACGCTCAGGGAGTGGCCTAGAAGTAGGTGGGCATCTGACCTACAGGGCTAGTTTCTGCCCCCTCATTCTGCCGTTGATGGCCCCACTGCAAAAAAGCTGGTGGACAGGGTTTATCCCTTCACTCTCCCCCCCCACTCCTGCCTGCCGTAAGAGCCTTCGCGGGCGGGGGCGGCAAAGAGGTGGAGACCCAAAGGGGCAGCGTGTCAGAAAGGAGGAGATGGGAGAGAGGCCAGGCGGGAGCACCTCCAGGAAAGCCAGCGAGACTGGGGAGCTGCTGGGGGAGGGCAGGGGCCAGGCAGGGGGTGGACCAGGGAGGTCTGGAGAGACTCAGGCCTGAGGCAGCTTTCAGCACTGAGAAGGGAAGGAGGGGGCGTGCGAGTGGCTTCCTTCCTGAGGTCAAGTTCCCCAAGCTGGTGGCAGACAGGACCCAGGCTACTCACCCTGACTTGGGGGAGGGGGGCAGAGAGGGCAGTCTTCCACTTTACTCTCAGCATACCTGTCAGCAGTCCTTCCTAGCAGCAAACTTCTCAACCCTGGCTGTCTGACCTGCTGCCCCAGCCACATACGCCCCCACCCCACCCCAGCCCAGCCTCCTCCCTGGTCTGTTTGCCAGCTGCTAGACTGAAAGGCACAAAGGCGCCCAGCCTTCCTCCAGTCCCTCCACCTTGCGACCGAGGGACACAGATCTGATGAATCATTATTTTCAGTATGGCCACCCCCCCTCCGTTTTCCTCCCCATTCCACCTTTCCCCTAAACCTGGCTAATTAAAAGGAGAGGGAAATAGAATGGACGATGTGGGAAATCCTACCATAATAGTAGCTAACACAGTGTCTACCATTTGCCAGGCACTGTTCTAAGACTTCGCATGTAGTTTATATGTAACTCGTTTAATCCTTGTAGCATTTCTGTCAGGCACTGCACCTTTACTGTGGTGAAACTGAGGCACAGAGATACTAAGGAACTAGCCCAGGATCACAGAGCTAATAAGAGGCTGAGCTGGAATCTGGACCCAGGGAGCCAGGCTCTAACGTCAGGGCTCCCAACTGCTCCCCTAATCTCCCTCTGACCAGGAGAGCCTTTCCACGGGGAAGGTCTGGGGAATGTGGGCTAAGAAGGAACACACCTGTGACCTTGTGCATACATAATCAGGGCACAAACACCCTTCTAGACCCATGAACAAATGTGAACAGCATGTTCATTAACCAAGAGGGTTAGGGACACGCAGAGAGAATAGGAATGAGAGTAAGGAAGATAAAGCGGGGCAGGGGTGCTAAGGAACTGGCTGGACTTTGTGTCCCTTGGACTGAGATGGGGAAGGCGGACAGGAGACAAGCCTTCGTCACGGACTCAGTTCTTTAGAGTCAGGATAACTTCTGGGGGTTGAGGAGGTCCCATGATGAGGTACCCTGTCTCTGGTCGCAGTCTCAGCTCCTTATCTTTATGCTCCTGTTCTCTGAAAACCCTTACCTTTGCAGGTCTTCCTGTCTGCCTGCAGCATGAAGCCCACGGGGCAGCTGCAGTGGACGCCCGTCGCTGCATCGTGGCACTTGCTGTCACAGCCCCCATTGTTGACAGCACAGGTCTCTGTTTAGGAGGGAGGTGGGGGATGGTCACCTGGCTATCGGCATGCAGGAGTCCCAGAGGAGAGGGCAGAGAAGGAACGCAGAGGCCCAAGAGGAGGCCCTGTTGCCTCCCTGTGCTTCGGAAGGAGCATCAAGTGGAGGCTCCCAGCCCCCTTCCTCCCATCACTCCCAGCCCCCAGCCCCTCACAAATGCAGCCAAGCAGTCCACTTCCCTGCCCCCTACTTGATTGAAACAAGGTGGACAGCAGTGAGGCAGGTACAAGCCAGAGCTGTCAGGCAGGAATGTGCTGAGGGGGTGGAGGAGGTGGAGAGGGGAGGGTGCAGGGAGGGAAAGCTAAGTAGGGGTGGTTCTCACTGCCAGGGAGCAAACAAGAAGGGGCAACAGGAGTTTCCTCCTCTCTCCCCAGACTGCCTCGTTGGCGGGTGGGGTCACAGTGGGACAGTCTTGAGAAGAGTGAGCCTGGTGATTCCTAAGACAGCTGAGAGATGACCATCAATTCATCTTCCCCTTCCTCTCTGCTCAGCTATCTTAAGAAAGATCCCAGAGGAGACAGCTCCTACTCCATCATTCCCCAGCCCCTTCCTGGCTACCTCCAACTCCTCCCAAGTCCTCTTAGTTACAGATAGAGATAAGCTGGCTGTTCTGTTGTTATTTTACTTTCCTAATGGGGAGATACTGTCTAGGCTAGGGGAAGGGGCAAAAGAAGAATCCAGAGGTGAAGGAAGGACATAAGAAAGTAAGTGAGAGAGAGAGAACTTCAGAGCCTCTCTTCTGTTGCTCCCCTCTTGACTGAAGCTTTCCCTTTGCTGAGAGGTTGGAGTTGGGGGGAATATAGATGGGCCACACTCCCTATTTTCTGAATTCAGAGCAGGAGAAAAACAGTTTGAATTGCAGCTCAGGAGAGTGATATGAGCCCAGGAAAAAAAAAATCAGCTCAAAAAGTGCAAGGCCCTGACACAGGGACTGTGAGGGAGATGTGTGCCATCCTCTGGTGGGGCTTAGAATTCTCCCATTAGAGAGAGAAATCCCTGAGGCTTCTGCCGTGGAAGAGAGGAGAGAGGGTCTCAGAGTCAAGAGAGCTGAGTGAGAAAAGCACTGGAGAGCACTGTCATCCTGAATCTCCCACTCCTGAAACTCAGGCGCAACCCACGGCACTGAGGAGAAGAGCAAAGCAAGGACTCAGAGAAAGCCCACCTCTACCTGAGGGTCCCCGGCCATGCCCTGGGCCCGCGATGCCTAGGTTTGGGGCAGCCACAGTGGGAGCACCTGTGCCACTCCCACCTCAGTCTCCTTAGGTTTCCAAGACCAAGGGAGGAAACTGGGAGGGAGCCCTGACTTCAGGCTCCAGGCCCAGCCACCTCCACAAGAGTGTTCTTAGCATGAGAAGCCCTCTAAGCCCTGGAGCAGGGAGAGGGGAACAGAGATCCTGCACCAAGTCTAGTCACTTCTGGGGTGTCCCCGGTGGGGAGCAGTAGAGCCGGCACGGGATCATCCCAGGCTGGACCAGGAAGCTGGGCAAACCTGCCCGCCAGCCCAGGGCAGAGCTCTCCTGAGTGGCCTCTCTGGCTGCCCCAAACCTTTGCTCCTCAGGTCGTGTATTAAAATCACGGTTTAATCTGTGCTTATTCTGTGTCAGGCACTTAGTAGATGCTCTAGCGCGCTACAGGAACACTGAGAGGACTCTCATTCTCCCTCTTTTATAGACGAGTAAGCTGAGGACCAGAGAGGAGAGGAGCTTGCTTAAGGAGGCACACTTAGAAGGCGGCAGAGCCGGGACTCAAGCTCAGGTCTGTCTGAACTCACATGTCGTGCACTGAACCATTATGGTGGGAGAGAAGGACGAGGGGTGCGGGGACTGTGAGCTAACATGGATAAGAACCCAAGAAAGAGACCCTAAGGATGGGATGGCACCTAACCCTACCCCACCCTGATCTCAGGTGGCACAGCAGGCATGCTGGCTGCATGGAGCTGGCGCGGTCTTCAGCTGTGTAGAAGGAGGGGTGCAGCAGATAGTTGGGAAGTGGGGAGGTGTTAGAAGCTGGGTGAGGAAGAAGGTGGGACAGAGGAACATGAGAGGAAGGAGAGAAGGAGAGTGACAGGATTGCAGAAAGAAAACCAACATGAAGGCTTCTGGGCCAGCTCCTGGGGACTCAGGTTTCCTGTCACTTGATGGGCCCAGCGCTCAGGCTGCTGGGGAGCCCAGTCCGGCTGGGCCCAGTGGGCATGCGGTTAGTGGGAGCCCCAGAGGGTTAGCCCTTCCCCTAGCAAGCCAGTGAGAGCAAGCGGAGAGAGCAGACATATTTACCATTAGAAACGGCCTGAGGGGGGACGTGCTGCTCTAGCCGCCTTTCCCCTGTTTGACATTGCAAAAAAGCTGTTTAGACGCTAGGCAGAGCTACTGTGGCCCTCTGAGCCCCAACCGCCCCCCCCTCCTCCACCCTGCAGGCCCAAACCACTGGCCCCGAATGATGAGCTCTGAGATTCCTACACTTTATTCCCCAGCCTCACCCTGCCTGGTACCCTCAAAGAAGCCAGGCTCCCACCAAGCAACTGGTGGGAAACGGAGTCTCGGGGAGGGGCAGTCATGGTCCCAGTACTACACAGCATGCCAGAGGTAGAGCTGGGATGCAACCTCAAATCTTACAAGCTGCCGAATCCCAAATCCCAGAGGGCGCCTACCCTTACTGCTAAACTGCACTGCCCTCTCAGTCTCCCCACTAAATCTGAACGTCCCAATGGCCCCAAATGATGATGTTTCCTCCTACCAGGGCTGGGGAGAAAAATGAGATACAGGTCAAGGTAAAATAAGTTCTTCTGGAGAAGAGGGAGAGGAACTTGAAAAAGACATAGAACCTTAGAACAGCCCCATTTGCTCTCTTCTGCTTCACTTGGCCATGGCCCAGAGGGTGGATGGGTCTTGCATTATAGCAGAGCTCAAGCTTAATGGGAGTATGTTCAAAGCAGCCATGCCCGGGACTATCTAAACAGAAAGAACATCAGAGAGGCACCGGCCTCCCATCCATGGCCCCGTCGTGACACATGCAGCTTTTCTTTGGGGACTGCATGCAGTTTCTTCTGGGAGTCTCTAAGGGTGTGTAAGTGTGTCCAGGGCATCACAGGAAGTTTGGAAAGCAGAAGAATTAGACTTATGAGGGAAAAAATGAATGGAGGTGGAACAAACCAGCCTTGAGAAGGCAACATGAGGACCCGAAAATGTTCCAAGATTTAAGAGAGTTAGTTCAGAGGGAAACATGTAGCAAGAGAGAGTTTAATTAAGGAACTTTAGAACTGTGTGTGCAAGTCTCTGGAGCAGGTACCTGAGGGAGGCCTTGAAGAGCCCCACCTGCTCCCCAGTCCTTGTGTCTGGTGGAAAGGCAGTGCTCTCTACAGAGACAGAGGGGTTTCTGGAGTGAGATGGGAGACAGGCTGGTTCTGAAACAGAATGTCTTGTCTCTGATAAATACACCAAATGACTGTGTTCACACCTTCCCATCCCCAGCATGTTACAGCCCATGAGATGAATGGCCATTCATAAACACCACACAGGACAAGCTTGCCTCTGCCCAGCTCAAGACACAGCCTTTCCCCCTGCCCACACTCTCTACTTTCATTTCCACTTTGCCAAGGGGACATTTTGTCCCATCATCTTTCTCAGCACTCTGTAAGCACATAGTAATTGTCCTTCACACACACACACACACACACACACACACACACACACACACCCCTGAAGATTTAGGGAATTAGGAATCAAAGAACTGAACTCATCTATGGACCTAAAGATATGTGAGGTAAGGCCCAGGAATTCAGGAAAAGGGGTCCAGGTATTAGGAAGACCCCGAGTCAGGGTGAGAGGGTGGAATTCTAAAGTTGGAGAAGAAATGGGAGGACCCTAGACAAAGCTCCCCTGGAATATGGAGGAAGAGAGGAGAACATGAGGGCCTGGGGGGAGGCCTGGAAAGGAGATTTGTAGGAGGAGAGCAAGGAGAGACAGAAGAAGGAGGAAGATACTGGAGCCAGGCAACCCCACTTGTCTTGTCCCAGGAAAGGACACTCTGCCCCACCCTTGAGTGTGGTCAGTGGGCTGTGACAGCTCTCATCTCACCACACTACTTAACTAGGGCCTCTGGTCAGGCTTAATTCACCGACTGCCCCATCTTTTCTCCCCCTTCTCCACCACAGCCTGGGTCAGCAGGCATTTCGGCTGATAGTTCCCAACCTGCCAACACCTCATCCTGCATCAAGAGGATGGCGAGGCTCCCGGGGTAGGGGGTGCAGAACCAAGGGGTGGGGAACGAGGAAGGGCAGGGGAGCCCTTTACTCTGAGTCATCACTCACTAGACCTGCCACCGTCTGGGGGCTTCAGCCCGCTCCTCAATGCTCCTAGTGCAGCACCTGAGCCCCGCCTCAGTGCTCCCCCTCCCCCAGCCCCCATTGCAAGTGCACTGAGCTCTCCGCCGCCTCACCCACCGATGCACGTCTTCCCGTCGGCGTGGAGCACGAACTTGACGTGGCAGCCGCACCGGGGGCCCTGCTCCGTGTCGTCGCACGTGTGCTGGCAGCCACCGTTGCCGTAGTTGCACGTCACTGCAGAGAGGGCAGGGGGCCTGTCAGCTTGCCGCCCCTGGGCACCCCGGCTCTCCGTAACGCAGAAACTGGCCCTCGAAGCTAGCTGCCTCTCCCGCACCCATCTCTTCCCACTCCTGCTGCCGAGGCCCCACGCCCCTCCTCCCCCACTGCCATCCCAGTCAGCTCACATTTACAGTCCCGTTGGTTCTTGGTGAGCTCGAAGCCAGGGCGGCATTCACAGGCAATACCCCCTTTGGGTGTCTCCCGGCAAATGTGAGCACAGCCGTGGTTCTTGTTCATGCAGTTCATTCCTTCTAAAAGGGAAGAGGAGGGTGGGGGTGAACGTGCTGTGCCCCTGAGCCCCTAGAGGAAGAGAAACTAGAAGGGAAGCCGTGGGCCTCAGGAACTGGGACAGTTTCTCCAAGGCTGCAGCACAGAGGAGACTGACTCTCCCCCTCACAGGCCCCCTTCCTGGCTACCAAACTGGTGTTAATGAGCAGAGCTCATAGCTACTCTGAATGATACATCCAGGCCCCCTAAACTCTACATGATCACCCTCTCCTTCAAGCAACTAAAAAATAGTGTCTAATAGTTGCCCAGCATTGTGCTTGTACTGGGTAGATCTAGAAAGGACCCAGAAAAATACAAGACATGATCTCTTTTTCTCAAAGAGTTTACAGTCAAACTGGGAAGAAGATAAATAACATTTATTACATGAGTGAGGAGTAATTGGCACAGGTCATTATTATGCATTTTATTCAACAAATATTTATTAAGCTCCTCTTACAACCAGGGCAGCATATTAGGTTCTAGGGATACAAAGATAAATTAGGCTTAGTCTTTGCCCTTGGGGGTGGGCAGGGGTGGGAGGGTGATGGCGGAGTCACAGAAAGAGACAACACGTGCCCCACCACTCCCGCCTGATGCTCCAGCCCAACCCAAGGAATAAAGCACGGGCGCGGTCCGGTGACCTCAGTTTAGGGTTCGGCCATCTATCGGGCTTGGCAAAAAAGTTCATTTGGATTTTTCTATAGCATCTTATGGAAAAGCCCAAGTGAACTTTCTGGTCAATGCTCTACAGTAAGGAGCAAACCCACCTTAGATCTGGACGCAGAGGATATCCCAGGGTAGCCTCGATTCCTCCGTGACCCCCAGCCCCAAGTGAATTCTCTCAGATTTCACTCTAAGAGCATCTGTCCACAGAGCCCTTAGGGTATGACTGGTTCAGGGACAAAAGGGGCAGCGGAGGGAAACCTGGGGGTACTGAGGGAGAGCTCCTGAGCAGACGGAGAGAGAAGCATGGTGGTTCGGGGCCGCGCCCCCACCCCCCACCCCCTCCAGCCACAGGCTGACCTTCCGGCCGCTGGATGCAGGTGTGCTGGTTGTCGCTGAGGAAGAAGCCCTCCCGGCAGTGGCACTCGTAGCTGCCCATCATGTTGACACAGCTTTGCTGACAGCCGCCGTTGCCCTCAGCACACTCGTCCACATCTGCGCGGGACAGGTGGCTGGTGAGGCTGTCAGTGCAGCCAGGCCTCCCCTGAAATCCAGCACCCAGCCAGAGGCCAGGCAGTTCTCACATCCCACTGCCACCCTCAGGGGGCGGCGAGTGGGGTGGGGACATGAGAGAATGGCCCACTCAGGAAGACATGCCTCTTTTTCCCTCACCTGTTGAAACTGGGTCTGAAGGCAGAGGAGATCAGCAAAGGAGGCAGAGCGAGAGGAGCAGAGATGAAGACAAGGATGGAGGTTGGTCAGGGGCAAGACCTGTGAGCAGCTGGTTGTGATGAGCAGCCAGGGAGTCAGGGCTCTGTGTGCGGGGAGAGCTCTGGCAATGGTGCTGAGGTTGGAGGGGGCAGGTGGGGAAAGGTAGTAAGCCTCAACTCACTGTGGGGCAGGGACCACTTCTGTGGAGGGACCATGGCCCTGTCCTTCCTCCCTTTCTCCCTTGCCTGGGCTTGCTGCCACATTCCCTAGCCTTTCTCCTATTTTGGTTTAACAAAACAAAGTCTGGTAGCTTGGCGGAGAGGGATGGGGAAAGAGCTGCCAGGCCACACCCTAATTACCAACCCCAAATCACCATCCTCAGGCTCATCCCGGGGCTCCCGTTTCAATGCCCTGACTCTATCTCATGCTCCTTACTACCCTCCTAAGTTCATAGTCCTTCTCTGTTTTCCTTGGTGCAGGAGGCATCAGGGAGAGGGACCCAAATGGACCAGTCTAGCTCCAAAGTAACCTGACTCCTTAGGGCCTTCTCTTCCTCTCCTCTCTGCTGAGCCCCAAAACCCTGTCCTTCACTCTTCTGGCCAAGGGCAGAGGGGCCCAGACCTAGCAGGCTCCTGCCTGAGAAGTGCGCCTGGAGGAAAAGCCACGGAGGCGTCCCTGGTTTGCCTTGTTCGCGTCCCATCTCCTACGCCCTTGACTTCTCCCCATCCCTGCCTTCCTATCTGACCCTGTCCTACATTCTGCCCTTCTGTTTGCTCCCTTCCAGTCCAACCTTGTGATTTTGTGACTCTAGCCAAGTTCTTTCCTACAATTTGCAGTGGAGAAACTGAGGCCCAGGGCATGGATGACTTATACAGGGTTCCCCTAAAAGCTAAAGGTTAATAAGACTTTGAACCCTAACCTTAAGGTTCATCATCATCATTCCTCCTGTTTTCTGAGCACTTACCATGTCCTAAGGATGGTACAGGGCTCTTTACACACATTGTGTCATCACACTGCAGCCCTCTGGGTGGTTATTAACCACCCCTGTTGCCCAAGTCTGCACAGCGAGCAAGCAGCAGAGCCAGGATCTGTCTGGAGCCAAACCACCTTCCCACCATGCTCCACCCGGTGTGACTAAGCCCGCTATTGTCATCTCCTGGCCCTTCCCCTGAGAACATTTTCGAGCAGCATCTCTTTAATGTTTTTCATTCAGAAGGATTTTTTCATCCTCAGCATCTTGTCTCAAAGGGGAGGCTGATCTTGTTTTCTATTTTGTGGGAATGCAGCTTTTCGTTTACTTTTCCTCTAGTGCCTGAGAATGGGAAATGCTGAAAACATCTCCTTCTCCACAAGACATCCCCTGCCCACATCCCTTCAACCCTCGCTCACCCAGACAGTTGTGTCCGTCATGTGCCAGGTGGAATCCGTCATAGCAGGTGCATCGGTAATTGCCAGGGATGTTGACACAGTCGTGCACACAACCTGCATTATCCTCCCGTTCACACTCATCCACATCTGTGGGCAAATAGTTGAGGCAGCTGGACCCACCTGCGTGCCCTGGGCTCAGCTTTATGGTGGTTTTTTAAAAAATATAAAACCTCTGTGTGTGTGTGTGTGCTTGTATGTATCTCTGTTTCCATAGTTACTTTCATAGCCTACAAACTATTTTGCATTTAGCTATTTTCATCTAAACTTCAGTCATAAACATTTTTACATTTCCATCAGATCTTTCCAATTACCACTGGACATGGTTGCAAAATATTCCATTATGTTGCTACATCATAACTTATTAATCCCTTTTTTCTATTGTTAGATTCCTTCCATTTATTTTTCTCTCATAAATGCATGGAAAAAATCTCTTGTATATTGTTTCTTTGAATTTCCTTTGAATAAGTTCCTAAATATGAAATTCCTGGGTTGGAGGGTATAAATGACTTCAAGATTCCTGCTAGGTATGACAAAATCACTTTTCAATTTATATTGTCACCAGGAATTAATGAGTATACCTTGTCTATTGAAGTCTTAACCAACACAGAAGGTCATAAATTTAAAATAACATCTCAAGACTGCTTTAATTTGCATTGCTTTAATTATGAGGAGATGTGTTTGTTTATAGTATGAACTTGCCCTAGGGTAAATTGTCTGTTCTCGTTCTCTTTGGGCATGGTGTAAGGGTCTAAAGACAGAGGTTCCAATAGCAGGGAACCTGAGGCCTTAGTCCCGTGATCCTGATCCCCTCACCCAGTCAGGTTGTATGGCTGTGAACTGTTCCCACCGGGCCTGAGCGTGTATATATGGTGTCTTTGTGCAAATTAGAAAGTGATACCCTCTCTGGGAAGGAGCTGCTTTCCTCTAGCCCTGTCTCCACGCCAGCAGGGAGTGCAGGGCTTCGTGCACAGCGTGGCCAACTGAGAGCGGGGGCACGGCTTCCCCCTCTGGCAGCTCCCCCTTTTCCAGGTACCCTCCCAGCCTCACCTTTGCAGTGTTTACCATCCCCCGTGTAGCCAGACTTGCAGATGCACTTGTACGACCGTGGGGTGTTCTGGCAGATGGCGTCGATGTGGCAGTTGTCGGTCCCTTCCACACACTCGTCCACATCTGGCAGGGGCAGAAGGGACGTGTAAGACCCTCTCGGTGCCTCCCAAGGGGTGTCTTGAAGGTAGTTCCTCGGGGCAAAATCTCCTCTCCTCTACAATAGACAGCAACCCCTCCAGAAGCAGGTGGCCTCCCACACCTCTCTGATTTCAGAGTGGGCTGACCCTGTAATTTCAGGAATTCAGAAAGAACCCCCACTCCCCTCAAAAATACTTAATCCATAATGACAACTGAAATTCCATCATTTGAAACACTCCTCTTTGGTTTAAAAACAAACAAAAAACCCTTGGACTGGGTAGATTGCACACTTAACTTGATTAGAAACTTTCAACCTAGGGTGAATTAGTTTACCTTTCTGAGAAGCAGGCTTAGAGGGAGGGGCAGAGAAAGGCATGAGGACAGTGGCCTCTGGGCAAGTGGCAGTGTCCAGTGACTGCTGGTAATTAAAGGAGGAGGAAAGGGAGACGGGGCATCTGAGGAATCTTTCTCTGCCTCACAGTTGTTTGAGACCAGGCCTGCTCCCACTTGCCCACCATGGCGCCAAGAATCTTTAAAGGAAAGAAGCTCCATCCCGGAAGATTTGCTGAGGCCCCTGTGCTGTCAACAGTGAAGGGACTAGGAGCTGGCAGGGGCTGGCACCAGCAACCCAAAGCCTGATAAGTGCAGTCTTTGCAGCTCTCCAGCTGACTCATCCAGGCCCATCCATCCCCCCACCCCGAGTGCTTTCATCTAACCCCAGGTGCACCTCGCTCTGACACAAGGTGCTACTCACAGAGCTCCGCTGAAGAAGGGGCCACCCCAGACCTGGACGATGTTCAGAAAGGACACAGGAGAGAGAATAATTTATCACTTTTGGGCAAAAGACTGCAGCTTCTGGGGCAATGTTATGATGCCCATAAAGCTGAACTGAAATAGGGGGAAATGTTTCAGCCAAAATGCTTTATAACTAAAGGCTGTGGCGGTTCAGAGATGACTCAGCCCAGCCAAGAGGAGAAACACATGAGTAACACGAAGCAGGATATGTTTGAGTGCCACGAGGGCATTAGAATAAGGAAAGGGGCTGCACATCAGAGTCAAATCCCCTAGGAGATGCCAAAGTGCCACCCCCAGAAATGTTGGTCAGCTGGTCTGGGCTGAAACGTGGTCATCAGTAGGCTTCTAAAGCTACCTAGGTAAGTCTAATATGCAGCCAGGCTTGAGAATCCCCACTATAGAGAAGATCAGAAAAGGAAGAGACCACTTCCAGCTGTGAACTGGGAAAACCCAGGATAGTGTAGCAACCTGCAAGAAAAAAATTTTTTTTCTTTTACTTGCAGAAAATGATCATAACTTCCAAGTGTGATCTGTGGGCCACAGAATTGCTTAGCTTTTGTTAAAATGCAGGTTCTAAGGCTCGATTGCTGACATACTGAATCTAAATCCTTGAGGTGCTTGATATATTTTTTACTGAATGAATGAATGACCAGTAATTGCTCCAATGTATAGACACCCATGAGTCCTAGCTTGAAACAGTTATCTGTTCTCCTTTATTTCAAGTACTTCAGAGGCAGGACTGAGGCTTCCTAGGGCTAAGAAGAGAACTGAAATTTGGAAGAGTGCTCTCAAACACCTGCCTCAAGTCTTCTGGGCTTCTGTTCAGCTCTGCACTCTACCCTCCAACTCTCTTTGACCCCTCTGCACAGCCCACCACGCCCAGTGATTTAATTGCTGTAATTCACATTTATTTATTCTTCACCTCCCTCAGGCTCTGCAGTGATGGTGTCTGCCTGCTGGTCCACCCTAGGAAGTTACCCCATGGTGAATGGATGGAGAGGAGGGGGTCATAGAATTCTAGTTCATGGGAGAGGGCAAGAGGGACCTCTGTAGACAGTAAGAGGCTGCATGGAGAATCAGTCTGTCCAACTGATGAAGAGAAAGTGGTACTAAGAAACACCCTATTGTAGAAAGAGCCTAAGTTCTGGAATTAGTTCAGTCCCAAATTCAAATTCAGCCCTGCCACTCAATAGGGAGGGTTTTCCGATTCTCTTATTTCTTCATCTTTAATGTAGGGCTGCCTTCTCATGAGAGGCTGTGAACAGTTGATGAGATAATTTGTGTAAAGTACCTAATAAAGTATTTAGTAAATATTAGGTTCCTAATACATGGAAGCTTGAAATGATAAGTATAAAATCATTGGTTCAGACAATAGGTACTCTAAGACTATGCTGTCTCAGATAGTAGCCACTAGGTACATGGGGGTATTTTTTTTTCATTTATTTTTATTAGTTGGAGGCTAATTACTTTACAATATTGTAGTGGTTTTTGTCATACATTGACATGAATCAGCCATGGATTTACATGTATTCCCCATCCCGATCCCCCCTCCCACCTCCCTCTCTACCCGATCCCCCTGGGTCTTCCCAGTGCACCAGGCCTGAGCACTTGTCTCATGCACCCAACCTGGGCTACATGGGGTATTTTAAATCTAAATTAATTTAAAGTTCGACCCCAGGCTAAATGCTCAATAGCTATATGTGGCTAAAGGCTACCACAGTGGACAGCACAGGTATGGAATGTTTCCAACAGCACAGGAGGTTCTATTGGAACCTTATTCATCTCTAGGAGTTCTGAATGAGAAATACCCTGGGCCTAAGTAGGCCAAAAAAACTCTTTGGAGTGGGACTCAAGTTTGAGTTTTGGAAGCTGGGTAAGTGTTAGATGGGAAAGGAAATTTCAAGTGTAGTTAGAGGCATGAAGAAAGACAAGGCACTCTGAGGTCCAAGTCCTTATTCTCTGTCCCCACATTTATTTGCATGTGCCCCCACGGTGGAGAAAATATCTTTTAACAACTAATACCAATCTTGGAATCCAAAGTTGGAGATGTTCTTGTCAGGTCTCCTCTCTACTCTGGTAACCCTTGTGAGTCTCAGAGGCAGGAGCAGAGCACAGGGCAATCCCAGTGACTAATAACCATCCTGTTACCCTGCTTTGAGCCCCTCGTGTGCTTCTCCATCCCTTCCCCAGCAGCCAGCAGGGCACCTTGGAAACTCATCGGGAAGCTCCTCCTCTGGGGCCATCTTAGAGGTATCCACCTGTCTCTGAATCACCTGGGGCTTTACAACAGTCAACATCTGCTCCTGGTTCTCTCCTCTGCTATTGATTCGATGCTTGCAGGTACTAGAGTGGATCCTGATGCTGACTGCAGCAAACCTCGGCCTCCTGGACGAGCCTTTAGACCCTTCGGGCAGTTGGGCTTTTCCTGCCGTCTAATCCACCCCCACCCATTCTCGGCACATGACACTTGCCCTCTGCAACACCAAACCCTTCAATTCCTTTCCACACATTTGCACTTCTCATTTTTTGCATTTGAGATGCAGTCCTTTCTTTTATCTTGTAGACGCACTGTTCCTAACTTTCCAAACCCAGCTCAAAAATTGTCTTCCCAAAAGCTCTTCCTAGTAAGCCCTATTCTCAGTGAGTCCCAGGTCTGAGGAGACTGGGTTTGCCTCAGCTCACTGCAGCTCTGCTAACGCTTTCAGGTCATCTTGTGCGGCATGTTCACCTCTCCTCACTTGACTGGTTACTGACTGAGGAAGGGACCCTTCAACTATTTGGATGGAATCTTTTGCAGCAGAACAATCCTAAAACAGAGTTCTGAAATAGAGCCCCAAATCATATCCAGTGTCTCCATTTGCCAGCCCATTCTTTCAATGCTCCCTACCCCCCCTCCCCATTTGCCCACTCACAACCTGTCCTGCAGGGATCCCTTCAGCACGCATGGGCACAGTCTCATCTTGGTTCATTCTCTCAGGGTGCAGGGGTTTATGAGCTGGCCTGACAAACCAGGGGGTGCTGCTGGGTGGGGATTGGTTTAGACCAGTGGCTGCACCCTGGGGTTCCCCTTTTAAAAATGTGGTCACTCTCTTAGACCAGCTGCATCAGGATCTCCAGGGTGAGGCTGGACTGCTGTCTGTCTTCCTTTCTCAACTCAGATAATGTGATAGACTATTTGCCCAAGCCGGCAAGAGACCAGGAACAGCAACACGACAGAGTATTTGAGAAAAGGGGTTCTGGAGTGATACTGTGTCTGTTCAGATGCCAGCTGCATGCATGTCTGTGTGGTCCTGGGCCAGCCTCTGAGCTTACCTGCTCCTTCCTCTGTAGATGGGAATAATGATATATCACCTGGTCATGGGGCCACCAGGAACATCAAATGAGTTAATACCTGGCAAGTACTTAGTACTGCAGTGCAGGCATACAGTAAGTGCTCAGTAAAGCCTTGTTATTTTTATTCCTTCTCTCCAACCTTCCCCACAGTATCCTTTCTGAATCCCTGTCCTCTCCCCCAGTCCCCTTATCAAAGCCCCATTAGAGGCCCGGTGTGGGGAGATGCAGCCCCAGGGGAACACGTGATGGAACAGGGAATCTGGGGAGACATATCCTTGGGGGCATCTGCATCACTGCCTGCTCCGCCTGTGCTGGTTCGGGAGCAGGGCGAAGTGGGTGAGAGGCCAGTTGGGAAGCACAAAGCTGCCCTCCACAGTCCTTCGTGAGGGCACTTCTTTGGTGCCCTTACTCCAGCTTCAGGCACGGGGCTGGCTCACACGCTGAATTAGCGGAGAGTGGCGGCTGCAGAGACACCACAGAGCCAAGACCTCCCTGCCACCCTCTCCCAGCACGAACGCACAGGTCTGTCACGGCAGCAGCTTCTCCCTGCACCATCCGACGTCTCTCCTGGATTTGCTTCAGCACCTAGCAGAGCATTCCATAAATTCTGATAAATGTAGGGAGGAGGGATGGGATGAGGCAGGGAATACGAGGGTTAGAGCAGACTAGAAAAGGTGAAGTATTATGACATGGGTAGCCCTAAGATTCCCTTCTGAGGGTGGGGCTGTGTACCCTAAAAGGCAAGCAGGAAGACCCCTCAAGGAAACACTTTGTCTACTTCAAAATTTTGCCAAGGTCCAGCTCTGGAATAACCACCACTGAAATGGGCAGGAATGCAGGCTGCAGATAAGCAGATGCCTGTAGGTAGAGTCTACTCCACCTTTAGGTTACTACTGTGGTTACCTTACTATACTCGGAGGGGCTGGGGGCAGTTGTGGACGCATTTGCTGGGCCCAGTGAGAAGGTCCAGAGCAGCTTGCTTGATGCCCTCACGTGCTCACATGGCTGTGGCATCCTTCCTGCCCAGCCAGGATAGCCCAAGATGTGTGCCGGCTCTGCCTCATCCCTCTATTTTCCTCTCCTGAGATGCCTTCAAACCTCACCCATCACTGAGGACCAGTGCAGGTGCCCCTGCTGGGAAGCTGCCTTTGACTGTGGTAGCCTTCTCTAGTTTATCCTTTCTCTTCACTCCGGAGATTCTACTGTCAGCTTCTCTCATCTGACCAATCACTGTCTTGTACAGATACCTCTTATATGCTACCATATACCATTGTTTAACTTTTGGTTTCTGTGTATTATCCAAAGGAAGCAGTGAGCTCCCTGAGGCCATGGCTTCTGAATCTCTGAAACCTGTACTGCAGCTAGAACAGAGCTGAGCATATTCATGCAA